ACACACACACACACACACACACACACACACACCCACACACACACACGCGCGCGCGCGCCGTCGGCGTACATCGATACGTACATCGTAGGTTTATATGTATACCGTAGGAATATAAATACATCGTCGTTTTATATGTAAGCCTACATCGTATGTATGTATATATGTACATCGTAGTTATATATGTACATAGGAGGTACTGGCGTATCGTAGGTGGACCGAGCGTGTGGACGTTGACTTGTAGGCGATGAATGTTGAGCGATAATCTCGCGCGCAAACACGGGCTACTCAGTCGCCAGGTGTTCCGACGTCCCTTATCTATATATCTATGTCGAAACGGAAGCTTCGCCGTGTTGACACAAGATGGCGCGCTACGCACCGACAACCGCTGAGTTTAATTAGAATTAAAAATACGGTAATAGAGACGGAGGCAGTATATAGGATATATATATATATATATATATATATATATATATATATATATATTGATACATATATATATATATATATATATATATATATATATATTGCTATATATTGATCACGCCGCCAAAGACGGTAGCCGTGCGACGCCCGTGTTTCGCGTTCGTGATATCTCGCGAGATCAGGATACAAGATGGCGGCGCTGTCGGTAAGCTGCACTGCCGTAGTCGTCGGTTTGAAACTCGTCAGCTGCTTTACGGTTTACGCTCTATTGATGTACGCGTCGGCGGCGCATGCGTCGTCCGTCTACGTCGGCTACCAGCCGCTTCCGCTGAAAGCCGACGCTCTACCGGATGTCCCGTTACCCGCAGAAGGCGACGCTTCCGTTACCGACGACCACTCGCCGACGGATAAAACCGACTACACACACTGGCCGTGGCAGAGCAGCGGCATAGCGAAGCATCGGCAGCGTATGAGCGCCGACGACGGCGACGTCGGCAACGACACCGAGATCGTCGGCAACGACACCGAGATCGTCTGCGAGCGACACACGACGTGCCACGACCGCTGTGCGGCGCTCGCATCGACCGCCGACGACACATCTACAAACCGCTACAACTGTCAGTGCGACTTGCTCTGTCACCTCTACGGCGACTGCTGCCGCGACTACTACGACGTGTGCCGTGAGGACGTCGTGGGCGACGTACCGGAGACGGCCGATCGGCTGCAGTGCGTGCACGTGCCGCAGCATCGCTCGAAGTACGTGCAGATGATAGCGACGTGTCCGGACGACTGGCGAGATGAGTCGACGGAAGTACGATGCGATCACGTTAACATGGAGGACACGATGTCTAACCTGCCCGTAGTAGGTAAATACCAGTGTCAATTCATCACCATCATCAGCATCATCATCCTCACCATCATCATCATCATCATCACCATCATCATCATCATCATCACCATCATCATCATCATCATCATCATCACCATCATCATCATCACTATCATCATTATCATCATCATCATCATCATCATCATCATCATCATCATCATCATCATCATCACCATCATCATCACACACACACATCATATATTATGATCATAACCCTAGCCATAAGCATAACCTCTAGCGTTAACCATAGGCATACACTTAAACCAGAACGCCTACGTCTAACCCTAACTCTATTCTTCACACCAACGTACGAATCCACACTATAACGCCCCTAACCCTAATTCTATCTCGTATACCAACCTTAACCCGGACGCGAAATCTTTTTTCCCACTTGAGTTCCGGACCACAGCCAATCAGCGCACTCCATTCACTCGACTTCCTCGAAGCAACAATGTAAAATGAATACCCCTATCCCTAACCCTAACCCTAACACGTACCCGAACCCTAACACTAACTATAATCCAACCATAGATAGTGTTTTGTAATATATGGTTCGTATAACCATATATTACAAAACACTATCTATGGTGGGTCCGGAACTCGAGTGGGAAAAAAAATTTCGCAACCCGGACCTTTAGCCTAAGTCTAAGGCTACTCCTAACCTTTACTCTAAGTTAAATCTTACCCTTAACCTTTACCCTAATGCTACGCCTAACTCTAACCTTAAGCCTAAGCCTAACCTAAACACGGGTGTAAGGTGCGACCGAGGAGGGGCATGCGGGTAGGGAGGGATCGCTAGGTCATGGCGGGTGGATGGAAGGCGTGTAAATCTACATTTAGATATAGTGGAAGAGCGAAGGGATGCTTCTACACATCGATACCATTATAGACTCATATGCAAATTTTTCGACCGAGTTTTCGTCATTGGAAATATGAATGTAGTATAAATGCTTGGTAGATGTTAATATAAGTGTTGGGTAGATGTTAGTATAACTGCTGGGTAGAGGTTAGCGTGAGTTGGTGTTTATATTGCTATGCGCCGACACAGTGCTAGCGT